AGTCAGACAGCTAATTTAAGAATATCACTTTAGCAGCTGTGTAGAAGATGGCTTGCAGTTGGGAGAGACTGTGAGCAGGGGGTCAATTAGATGTCACTGCAATAGTCCAGACGAGAGGTTAGGAGGTTTGAACTAGGTCAGTCAGTGTGAGGAGACATAAGTGGATGCATATGAGAGACATTGTGGATGTAGAATTGGTGGGGATTGTCTTTTGGTTCTTTTTGTACCTCCATTGCTTAGCACAGTGCCTGTCACATAATAGGCACTTAATAGATGTTCATTGATTAACAATTCTTAGCAACTTTTGGATAGTGGGGACAAGGAAATGAATGAAAGTATAGAGTTGAGGATGACTCTTCAGGTGGTGAAGAATAATATTTATATAATGCTTGATATGTGCCACCTGCTTTACAAATATTATCTCATTTAATCCTCATAGTAACCATGTGAGGTATGTGCTATTATTATCTCCATTTTACAGATGAGGAAACTGAGGCACACCTTTTCAGTGATTTGTTCAGGATCACACAGTTAGAGGCCAGATTTGAACCCAGATCTTTCTGATTCTACTTCTGATGTTCTATCCACTGCCCCACTTCATTTTCAATTTATCTGAGTGACTGGAAGAATGATAGTGCCTCTCATTAGAAATAAGAACATTAAAAGAAGGTAGGTTTATAGAGAAAGATTAGCAGTTCCATTTCATGCATATTGAGTTTGAGTTCCCGTAGCAGTACAGGTAGAGCTGTCCAGCAGGCATTGGAGATGAAGATGGTACATGCAGTGTTACTGTGGAATAAGGTTTTACCGCTGAAGCAGTGCCAGGTAATGGAGGACTTTACACGTCAATCTCTTTAAATGTTATTGGGTAGACAGAAGGGAGTCGCCGAAGGTCATGAAGGGAAATGAGTTGGGTCTTAAAAGATGGAAAATAGGAGTCCCAGCACAACATAGAAGAGGAGTTGAATAGAATAGTCTATCCAGAAGGCTAGAGCATCATATCTAGGAGGTTTGCCTGGACAAAGGACATTGTAATTTAAGTGAAACAGTATATAAATGAATACATTCACTCTCTGGTGAATGTTTTTGTGTCTAAAGCTTGGAATCCCAAATGTTCTGCTTCTAAATGAATATAGGCAGAATTTGGATTTCCAAATGACAGACATTGTGGTGACACTCTGGATAAAAAGTATATTTGGGTTCTAAAAAGTATGCAGATAGCAAGTGGTATATAAAGGTACCACTTGGCTAGATATATATTTAATAGGCTGCAATCATAAAGTCTGTGGAGAGCTGGCACAGCCAATTACAGCAATGGTCATTAAAATCAATCAGAAGGGGGTACAAAATGCAGGGACAGAATGGGCTTGTGCCTGAAGAGAGCTCCAAGTCAACAGAGGGTAAAAATTGAGATGGGAGATAATTTTACTCTGAGAGGATCTGCTGATAGAAACTCACCAACCATCTACTACCAGTATTACTTGTAGCACAGTGTTACTGCTATACAATAATAATCATAGCTAACATTGATATAGCACTTTAAGGTTTGCGAAATGCCTTATAAATATTTCATTTGATTATCACAACAACCCTGGGAGATATGGGATATTATTATTCCCATTTTACAGGTGAGGAAACTAAAGCAAGCAAAGGTCACACAACCAATAAGCATCTGAGGCAGAATTTGAAGTCTTTTTGACTTCAGCCTCAGTGCCCTATCCACTGTATCACTTAACTGGCTAAGAAATGAAATGGTTAAATTCCACTGTCTTGAGAATAGACTGACATAAGAAGCACTACCTACATCCAATGGGAGGGAGAAAATAGTAATAAGAAAGGCAGCAGAAGTAAGTCTACTTTTGATAATAACAACACAATGATAATAAAAGTTAGCATTTATGTGACACTTTAGGGTTTACAAAGAGCTTTATACACATTATCTCTGATGACTGCAGTTAAATTCCAGCTCCAGTTACCAATTGATACTGACATGATATATTGATATTGACCTCACTGCCACTCTGACTCTTTGTTCTATATTTCCCATCCCATTAAAGCAAATAGCTTCTCCCTTGACCACTTCCTGTCCTTCCCACAAATCCCTTCCACCCAGCCACAAGTCTTTCAAAGCAAAGATGAGAAATGTTCAGCTGAGCTGAACCTGTAAGAGAACTGCCAGTAGGAGGATATTGTAAAGAAAATGAAAGGAAGAAAATGGATGAGATGGTCTGCACCCATTCAAGTACTCTATTGATGGAAAAAAAATTAGTGTGCCTGTTTAGCATATGAGCCCAGAGTCATGGCATGAAGCTCCTATAGTATAATTATCTCTGCTTTGTTCGCAAAACACAAAGTGCTGCTCTAATTCTGCAGAGTCATTGGGAAATCACATGCCCTCATTCACAAGGAGAGCTGGGTGAGAGAGCTTGTAGGGATCAGCACAAAGCTGTATCACCACTATGGGAAAAATAGCTCACAGAATGATGCTCTGATGATGTCAGTAGTGTTCTTTTAGAATATAAAGAACAGTTTCATAGTCAAAGAAGAATAGAAAAAAAATATTCAGTTTCCTGGCAGTTTGGAAATGGAAAACCAACCAAGATAATTTAAGGGAAGCTATTTTTAGTGGCGCTAAAAAGTTAATGGAGCATCCCAGGATACTTCACTTATTTTCAGAAAGGGTGATGCTGAGGGAAAGCAGCTTAGGAAGCATACCTAGCATGACAACTAGATTTAACAACGCACATTTGGAGGCCAAAAAGGGAAAATTCCAGAGTTTAATAAGTGTGGAGTCAAAGGCCTGGCTATAATGACCATTGTTTGAAGAATGACTAAGAAATTTGTGGTGCAGGAATTATTATAATACTACTATGCTGTAAAAAATAATGGATGTAATGAATGTCGTGAATCACAGAAAGACCTACATGAATTGGTGCAGAGTGAAATAATTAGATCAAGGAAAATAATATATGAGATGACTATACCCATATAAACAGAAACAACAATGATGATGACAGGAACAGTGAAACCCAAACAAACCTTAATGTGTATAATTATAAGAACCAGTGCTGGTCCCAAAGAAGAGAAATGAGAAGGGACTTTCCTTCATTGCTTTGCAGAGATGGAGGACTCTGGGCATGGAAAACTATATATATTATTAGGAATTTTCTGTGTTTTGATGAATTGTCTTTTTTCTCTCTTATGTTTTTTCCTTTGTTATAATGATGGGGATAGAGGAAGAATATATGGGAAAACGTAGATGATGTAAAATCAGGATGCTGATAAAATGTGTTTTAAGGTCTGCTTTCTTTGCCAATGCAAAGCAAAATATACTTTTTTCTTCTATTTTTTGCCTGATTTGTCTGAGCTGATTATCTAAATGGACTTTTAACCATCAGATCACTCTACAGTCTTCTTCTTGGATCATAAATTTGGAAGCGATGACATAGCTAACATTTATGCAGCACTCTAAGGTTTGCAAGGTGCTTTATATAAGTTACCTGATATGACAACACCCCTGTGAGGTAGGGGTTAGTATTATCCCCATTTTACAGGTGAGGGAACTGAGGCAGATAGAGGTAAAGTGACTTGCTCAGGGTCACACAATTTGTAAATATCTGAGACTGGATTTGAACTCAAGTCTTCTGATTCCAAGCCCGAGACTGTGTACTATATCACTTTAGAGCTGACAAGGGACCTTAGAAGACATCTTGTCCATCCGCTCCTTTTACAGATGAGGAAGCTGAAGACCACAGAGGTGAAACAACTTGCCCAAGGTCATATGCCAGTATTCTTCAAAACCAGGCTCTTAATCCATATCCTCATTCCAAATGTGGCACTAGGCTGCCAATGGAAATTGAAGCATTATGATGCTTGTAGTGTGTAGATTTTAGTGCTACTAAATCCGTAAATTCAATGACTTTCAATCGTCTACTATGCCATCCAACAAATGGAAGATAGGTTATTTGAAGAGTTCTCTTCTTATATTTGCATACTTTGTAACATCTAAATCCTCTGTGACATATTCTATGCTCCCAGACTGCCTACATGCAGCCTATTCAGCTTGGTTCCCAATAGCATCCAACAGAATACTATGTTAAAGTGTGTGGCTTCATCCTTTTGAGGAGGGAATGGTCTGAAGGGTGTGATCTGAAAGTGGTACCAAATTATTGAGGGTGCCATTTAGTTAATTAAGGCCATCTGAGCTACCTCATAAAGCTTATTCCCAAAGATGAATTGTTGTTGTTCAGTCGTGTCCCAACTCTTCATACCCCATTTGGGGTTTTCTTGGCAAAGATACTGGAGTGGTTTGCCATTTTCTTCTCCAGCTCATTTTACAGGTGAAGAAACAGCGTTAAGTGATTTGCCCAAGGTCACCTAGCTAGTAAGTATCTGAGGCCAGATTTTAACTCTGGAAGTTGCATCTTCCTGACTCCAGGTCCAGCACTCTATCCACTGCACCACCTAGCTTCCTCATTACTCCACCTAGGAATTAGGCCCTGGGAAAACCTGGATCATTGCATTAGGCACATCGCAAATGTAATAGTTAAAATACACATGTGTTTGGGTATGACAGTACTCATCCAAACTACCAAAGGCCATCACCTGGAGAACTGAAAACATAGCATGGCATGCAAATTGTTGTCATGAGTCTCTCTTTTTTTCACCATCACCATTGTCATCATCACTAATACCATTACCTCTATCACCATCAATACCACATTCATGTGTGTGAAGTGTGTTCCAGACAAGAAAAAAAGGGTAATCTATCATTCTCATAAATTCAAAACACATCATGTAATGATACATGATTATATGCATAATTTAGCAATACCATCAACAAAATCAACAAATTATGTTGAATCTGGAAGGTCCCTTAAAGATTGTCTTGCCCAGGACCTTCATTTTACAGAGGAGGAAACTTCATATATAGGATTTGGTAAATTTTTGTTTGATTTTTTCAAAGTAACAATAACTTTAATGTATTTCTTTTTTATTAGCTCAAAATCTATGTCCAGCCACGTGAAAGACATACAGCTGAATATGCTGCAAACATCACCAAAGCTATATTTGACTTTTATGAAAGTTATTTTGCAATGAGTTATTCCCTTCCAAAATTAGGTGAGTTCAATTTCGTATTTCCTTCTGTTAAAATAGTTCACTATCATCTAAAATTAACTTCTTTTAATTAGCATAATCAATGAAATGTTTAGCAAATATATGTTTAGGGACATAATATTGTTCCAGGTGATGGGATATTGTGCTAATGGGTAATAGGTTTTCTCCAGGCCATATTATATCTCTACTTTACATAATTCTTACATTGCTCTGACTTTCTTTTCTTTTTCCTTAATGGTATTTTATTTTCCCCCCAATTACATGTAAAGATAGTTTTCAACATTCATTTTTGTAAAACTGTTGAGTTCCAAATTTTTTCTTCCTCCCTCCCCAAGACAGCAAGCAATCTGATATAGGTTATGCATATACAATCACATTAAATATATTTCCACATTAGTCGTGTTATGAAAGAAGAATCAGAACAAAGACGAAAAACCATGAAAAAGAAAAAACACAAATAAAAAATAAAAAAATAAAATAGTGTACTTTGATCTGCATCCAGACCTCATAATTTCTTTCTTTGGATGTGGATAACATTTTCCACCATGAGTCTTTTGGAATTGTCTTAGATCATTGTATTGCTGAAAAGAGCTAAGTCTATCAAAATCAGTCATTGCACAATGTTGCTGTTACTGTGTCTGATGTTCTCCTGGTTCTGCTCACTTCACTCTGCATCAGTTCATTTAAGTCTTTCCAGGTTTTTCTGAAATCTGACTGCTCATCATTTCTTACAGCACAATAGTATTCCATTACATTCATATAACGTAACTTGTTCAGCCATTCTCCAACTGATGGGCATCCTCTCAAAGATAATTTCTTTTAAGTATTAGAATGGATAGCCTATAAAGCCCCTTCTAGCTCTAAATCTATGATCACATGATCTCACGGTAAAGACAGTGTGATACAATGAGAAAAAAAGACAAAATTTAAAGTGATTTGACCTTTTAGCTCCTCAGTTTCCTCTCCTGTAAAATGGATGAGGTGCCCTCAGAGGTCTTTTCTAGCTCAGAATCAATGATGTTCTTTATTTCTTTCCATCGCTAATCAGGATTAAATTCTAGTTATTCCAAATCTGAAGTCAAAATGTCATTCTGTTTCCACATATATTTTTTTCCATGTTTCTCAGCATTACACAAGCAGAACCACGTGAACCCAAGAAAGGGCTATGTGAGAATGAAACCTGAATGATAATTAGGAAAGGCCTGAAAACCCCAGCATCAATACAGATTTCTAAAGACCCTGAAAATGAGGACAGCAAGAAAAAACAACTAGCTTTCTGCACTTAGACTAATTGATTTTCTCTGTAGAGTAAAACTCAGTGCAGGTGGGCCTCGTGTGGCTCTATCTACCTTCCAAGTGCCAAGTTTCTCTTTGCCAGTGACATTTCTAGGTTGACTAACAGTTGTTGTGAGGGGAAGAAGCAACAAAAACAGCTGTCACCAGAATCTGTAAACTATTAAGCAAAACATGGAACCCAAGACAGAATACCTTACCAGTCTCACTTTTGCCCCGCAAAGTATCCAATTTTCAGTCCCCACTAAAACCGTACAAATGAAAGGTCTGTAATGGACCTTTTTGTTGTTCAGTTGTTTCAGTCACGTCTGACTCTCCATGACCCCTTTGGGGTTTTTGTGGCAAAGATACTGGAGTGGTTTGCCATTTCCTTCTTCAGCTCATTTTACAGGTGAAGAAACTGATGGTTACAGATGAAGGTTAAGTGACTTGCCCAGGGACACACAGCTAGCAAGTATCTGAGGTCAGATTTAAACTCAGGTCTTCCTGATTCCAAACCTAGAACTTTATCCACTGCACCACCTAGGTACCCTAATAATGGACCTGCTTTAAGCCAAATACTATTTCTCTCTGTCCTCTGAACAAACATCTAGGATAGACTATAATGGAAACATTCTTTGAGAAGAAATTGTGCATTTATTGTCTTCTAGAAGTAAAACATCCTGGAAACAATTAATTATAGTAATAAACATGAGACCTGAAGTTAGAGGAAGGGAGGAAATACGTGTTTATTAAGCACTTAATATGTACCAGGCAGGGAGCTAGGTGGTGCTGAGGATAAAATGCCAGGCCTGGGGTCAGGAAGACCTGAGTTCAAATCCAGCCTCAGATACTTAGTAGCTATAGGATCCTGGGCAAGTCACTTAACCCTGTTTGCCTCAGTTTCCTCATCTGTAAAATGAGCTGGAGAGGGAAATGGCAAACCACTGTAGTACCTCTGCTAAGAAAATCCCAAAAGGAGTCACAAAGAATCAGACACAACTGAAAATGACTAAGCTACATATGCCAGGCACTGTGCTATGTTCTTTACAAATATTATCTCATTTGATCCTCACAAGAACCTCGGGAGGTAGGTACTATCACCCTCCTTTTAAAGTTAAGGAAACTGAGGCAAACAGAGCTTAAGTGACTCATCTAGGGTCACACAGCTACTAAGTGTCTGAGGCCAGATTTGAACTCAGGTCTTTTCCTGACTCCAGACTTAGTGTTCTATGCACTGTGCTATCCTGCTAAAGGTCATCTATGAATTGAGATTTAAAGGCGTTGTATTCCATATTGATCATTTGTGGGTTTCTTTTTCCTAGAGGCAGCAGGGTATGGTGGATAAACCCTGGGTTCAAGTCCTGCCTCTGACACATACTATGTGACCCTGACTTGCAATGGGAAAGGGAGTTTCCTCCCATTGGAATTCCCTATCCCAATGAAATTAGTGACCTAGACCCTATCCTTTTTGGTAACTCACATATTTGTCACTAATTGTAAGCATAAAGATAGCAAGAAAAGGAAAATTCCTGAAATCTAGGAGATTTGTTAGAGAAAATTGACTTATTTAAGGAAAATTAGGCTATGACTCATGTGGAATGAAAATTCATTAGATTTCATGCATCTTCTTTGAGCGTCTAAGCCTGCTGATCACTAAGTACAAAGAAATGAGTTCATTAAATGGGAAAGCTGCCCTGAGTCAACTAATCTTTGTCTTGGAGCTTTCATGGGTAGCAGAGGTGGGGATAAGAATAAGGATCAGAGATGAGCCTTTACTCTGACCATTGAATCACACTGTCTCCCATTGGCTGATTTAATCAACAAGGGTTTAGTCTGGTGAAAAGATTGAAATTAGAATTATAGAAGGTTAGAGCTAGCACTCACCTGAGTGATCCTCTGGTCCAACCCTTCATTTTTCTAATGATATTGGCAATCCATTGAGAGGAAGTGTTCCATCCTGGATAGAAGGCTCCTTCTATAGTCAGGAAAAGCCCTACTTCTGCTATATAACAGGTGTGTGACATTGGATAAGTCACAACCTTTCATGCTTCAAGCAACTCTCTATAAATGTAAATTAAAGATGAGTTAGTTGATTGTGGAAACGGTGTACATACCATTTTTCCACATTGATAAAATAGATCTAGAACAAGAGAAACAGATGCCAGAATACCAAGTGGAATGGGAAGGCCTTAGAATAATAGGGAACCAAGGTGACAAAGAAATATAAGGGCTGAGAAAAGATGGCTCTCAAGGTACAGCAGTTTTTATATGATAGGGCTTTCTTTTGGCCTTGACAAGACAACAAAAACTGCAGTATGTAATGTAAATGAAATCGTATTTTGAAAAGTTTCTCTAAATGAAGGGCAGAACTATTGGTAGAGCTGTGGACTGGAGCCATTCTGCAGAACAATTTGGAATTATGCCCAAAGGGCTATAAAACTGTGTATACATACCCTTTGATCCAGAAATACCTCCATTAGACCTCTATCCCAAGGAGATTAAAGAAAAGGGAAAAGCAGTCATATGCACAAAAATGTTTATAGCAGCTCTTTTTGTGGTGACAAAGAGTAGGAAACTGATGGGATACCCATCAATTGAGGAATGGCTTAACAAGTTACGGTATACAAATGTGATGTAATATTATTGTGCCATAAGAAATGATAAAGGGGGTGACTTTAGAAAAACCTGAAAAGACTTATATGAACCAATCCAAAGTGAAGTGAGCAGAACCAGGAGAACAATTTATAAAGTAACAGCAGTATTGTAAAATCAACTGTGAAAGACTTAGTAACCTGGTTAATAAAATGATCCACTGTAGCATTAAAGGACTTGTGATGTAAAATGCTATCTGCTGCCAAAGAGAGAACCGATGGTCTCACAGTGCACAATGAAGCATATTATTTTTCTTTTCTTTCTTTTCCTTGCTTTGATTTTTTTGGACCATGCAGAAATATGTTTTGCATGACTTCATAGGTATAATAGGTATCATATTTCTTGCCTTCTCAATGGGTGAGGAAGGGGTAGAAAGAGAAAACTTGGAACTGAAAATAAAAAGAAAATAAAATTTAAAATAGAGGATAGAAAAAATCCAAAACAAAACCATCCTATTCTAGAGATTTTTAACCACCACTCACTGTCTATGGAGTTTCTCTCAAATATGCACTAATATCTCTGTAGCCAACAGGAAGAGTCCTATGGAAATTTTGAATGTAAGGAAACTGAGATGATTGAAAATTATTTTTGTCCCACAAATTTAGGAGAATAATTTTAAAATTTTCTCTGAAGTCAATCAGAGAAGAAATATTATGCCTAGACAAAAAGAATATACTTCTCACGTGGAAAAAAAAAAACCACTATGTTCTCTTTTTTTACACCCTAGATAAAATAGCCATTCCAGATTTTGGCACGGGTGCTATGGAAAACTGGGGTCTTATCACATACAGAGAAACCAATCTGCTTTATGATCCCAAGGAGTCGGCCTCTTCAAACAAACAAAGAGTGGCTGCTGTGGTGGCTCATGAACTCGTTCACCAGGTAATGAAGGCCCCCAATGGTAGCTGGGGCAGTAGGGAAATGGAAGTGGTTAAAAATCCTAGGAGCAATGGGAATAAATAATAAATAATAAATGCAACACATCAATTGTCTCCTATGTGCAAAGGAATGCACTGGGATGCAAAGTGGTAGAAGACAAAGATCTTTTTTCTCAAAGTGTACAAATTTGTACAATTTTGTACAACAATGTACGATTGGAAAGGTTACATGGTGGTACAGGCAGTAGATTAGTCATCAGAGCTAGTCTGGAGACAAGAAGACCAATTATGTTCTTCAGCAAGCCTTCAGATAATTCTGTTGCTAACCACTGGAAAATAAGGGGAAATCAGGAAAAAATCTTCAGATTTTTTTTTCTGTGCTCTACAAAAATCTCACAATTGTTAAAGATTTTTTTTTTTCAACCAGCCCTGTGATTTCATGAGTGGAAAGAGCTACCAGTAAGGACCTCCCTCTACTAATCAAGACTAGTACAGTCTACAATTTACTTATTTATTTATTTATTTATTCATTCATTCATTTATTTTTTAGTTTTTTGGTGAGGCAATTGGGGTTAAGTGACTTGCCTAGGGTCACACAGCTAGTACGTATTATGTGTCTGAGACCAGATTAGAACTCAGGTGCTCCTGACTCCAATGCCAGAGCCCTATCCACTGTGCCACCTAGCTTGCCCCTTATAGTCTACAATTTATAATCTCAGCAAGTTGTCCTAAAGTAAATGACTTGCCTGAGGTCACAGAGCCAGAAAGTATCCGAAGCTGGACTTGAATCCAGGTCTTTGGAATACAAAACCAGCTCTCTGTCCACTGTGTACACCATCTCTAATAAAGAAAATAAAATGTGTTGTCATTACAAAAACTTAGTAGGTAAAGTTTAGGACTTGAAGCCAGGGAGACCTGACTTCAAATCCTGCCTCAGACACTTAACAGCTGTGTGACCCTGGGCAAGTCACTAAACCTCTCAGCCTGAGTTTCCTTATCTGTTAAATTATAATAATAATAATAATAATAATAATAACTACTACCTCACAGGGTTGTTGTGAAGATCAAATGAGATAATATATGTGAAGTATTCTGCAATCATTAAAGTACTATATAAATTTTAGTTTCTATTACTATTTTTATTACTAGTGTAAGAAATTTGCTTTACCTAGATCTTCAAGGACATGCTCCTATAGTTTTACAAACTCTATTTATTGTATGAACAAAGGTTTTAAAAAGAGGTGTCTGAGGCAATTACAAAATTGAGAAAAAAAAAACCAAGATACCCAGGAAATATTTATAATTGAAGTTCTGTTCACCTCATTAGTGTTTTAGATGGTAAAAAAAATCTCATCTGATATCAATGGTAGAATTGCATAGAAACATACATGACATGCTGACTTACTGTATGTTTTTACCACTATCCTGAGATCTTTTCTGATCTTGTTTATCATTTCAGTGGTTTGGCAATATTGTGACCATGGATTGGTGGGAAGACTTGTGGCTAAATGAAGGATTTGCCTCTTTCTTTGAGTTCCTAGGAGTAAATCATGCAGAACCAGATTGGCAAATGGTAAGTGTCCTTCTGTTCAAAGCACTTTATTCAGTTCAATTTAATTCACATACACATTCATGTTTATACGGTACCTTTGGCCACTTCCACAGGGAGCAGAGAGGCTTGGAGGGCAGGGGAACTGAGCTGCCAGACAGACAGTTTATCCAGATTCCCAAATTTCAGGGTCTGCCTTGACTTTGACACTTGTAGGGACTTGTGGGAAAGAAAAAATAGAGCCATGAAGGAGAAAGATGCCCTAGTCTCTCTGTTCCTTATGAAGATGGCCAAAAGCAGGTTATGTTGATCAAGAATCTACTCTATGCTAGGCATTATGCAATCCATTAGGGATTTGTTATCGTTGTTGTGACCCTATTTGGGATTTTCTTGGCAAAGACACTGGAATGGTTTGCATTTCCTTCACCAGCTCATTTTACAGATGAGGAAACTGAAGCAAATAGGTTTAAGTGACCTGCCCAGGGTCACACAGCTAGTAAGTGTGTGATGCCAGATTTGAACTCAGGTCCTCTCAACTCCAGGGCTGCTGCACTATCCATGGCACCACCTAATTGCCCTTTGCCACTCGGGACACAAAGCCAACAATGAAATAGTTCCTATCACCAAGGGGCTTAGGGCATGTTCAATTTATTCATTCATTTAGCAAACATCAGTTGTCTCCTGTGTGCAAAGGAATGTACTGGGATGCAAAGTGGTAGGAGACAAAGACCTTTTTTCTCAAAGTGTACAAATTTGTATAACTTTGTACAACAATGTACGACTGGGAAGGTTACTCAGATGGTGGTACAGGTAGTAGATAGGCATCAGAGCTAGTCTGGAGGCAAGAAGACCAGTTATGTTCTTCAGCAAGCCTTCAGATAACTCTGTCACCCATCACCCATTAACCCATTAACACTATTTCTACATGTTGGGGGGTGGGGTGAGGAACGCAGTTTATATTTCCCCTATGTATCACATTAAAGTTTTTTTTGAATTGTTCTTTTTTAAAAAAAATATGAACACAATAGTCATCAGTGAATACAAATATTCGAACATATAAAGAAAAAGAGCATTGTCTATAAAACTGAACTTCCGTTAAATGTTTTTTTTTTTTACATGTTTTTGAAAGTAAGGGGAAATCAGAGGATGATTTCAGAGGAGGACTTTTCACAGCAACCTTGTGGAATAGTTAGTGTACTATTGCCCCTATTTTACAGATGAGGAAATTAAGGTTCAGTGAGGTGAACTGACTTGCCTATGGTTACAGAGCCATTATGGATTGGAACACAGGTGTTTTGACTCCAAGTCAACTCTGCCTCACTTTCCATTCCGACCTAATCTATTTCACGCTGTTACCTCTTGGGCAATGATTAGGCAGTGTGGAAAATACCATGGGTTTGAGAGAAGGAAAGAAGACTGAAAAGAGCTAGGGAATAGCAAAGGAGAGGTGGAGAAAATGAGAGGAGCCAATACTTTCCTCTAATCCTGACTATTCCCCCCAAATATATGTTTCTGATTCAAAGAAGCTTGGAGACTGTGCCAAGTTGATGTCCCAGAAAAGGGACCTGGGAAAGGAAGTCGAGAACCAGCTATTAAGGGTTATTTAGTGGGTGACTCTATCATTACGTTACCTTACATTCGATATGGTATTTGATAGTTTTCTTGTTTTTTCCTACGGCTGTGAGGCAGGAAGAGAGGGTATGAGAAGCTGAGGTTGTTCTACTGCAAGCATCATTAGCTGGGTGACCTTGAACAAATCCACTCCTTTCTCTGAGCCCAGATTTTCTTAATGTGACGAGGTTGGACTAGTCATTAGATGATCTATTCTATACAATTCCTTCTAGTTCTAAGGTCCAGGATTCTTTACATTTCTCTCTAGTGTCAATTAAGACAACAGCAACTGCCAAACATTCCGTGCCCCTATTTATATGTAATATGAGCGGTGGTGTAGGGATAAAGGGATGGGGAACATGGAGAGTTGCCATAGTTTGGGTAGCTAACTTTGTGAACTATTGCCCTCTAATGGACAAAACCAAAAGATGAATTAAACTGGGAAATTTTCCATAGTGTTTAGAGTTTGTGTAATCTGTTATTTTTCAAGGGTTGAAAAGAAAGATTTGGAAAAAAATGGACATTGTTGGTAAAAATAAAATCCTTTACCAAATATCAATCCACATTCAAACATTTCCAGTAAACATAAAATGGGCAAATTTTATATGAAAAATTACTTTCCAAGATCAAATCATTTTGCTTTTTATTCCTTTGCTGGCTAATAAGAGGTTTAAAAAGTGCTGATATCCTTCAAAATAAATGAATATCCCACTTATACCGACCAAAACATAATCAACATAAACCCATTAACACTATTTCTACATGTTGGGGGATGGGGTGAAGAACTCAGTTTATATTTCCCCTATGTATCACATTAAAATTTTTTTTGAATTGTTCTTTTTTTAAAAAAAATTATGAATACAACAGTCATCAGTGAATACAAATATTCCAACATATAAAGAAAAAGAGCATTGTCTATAAAACTGAACTTCTGTTACATGTTTTTTTTTAGATAAAGAGTATACTAAATTTAACAATATAGTGACAAAATTGTTCTGTTTTAGTCTTTTTCTGACTTCCTTTTTCAGCATATTTTTAAAAAGTTTATGATGTCCTTTTCTTCCTTTTTTTTTTTTTTTTTTTGGTCTGGCATATTTATCATTTCCCACTTATTTCCACCCACTTCCCCAAACCCTCTCTTGCAAGAAATTAGTATAGTCAAGCAGCACAATTTAATACAGTGGCCTTATCAGAAAATGAATAGTTCTTTTTGCATCTTTAATCCATCACCTCTCCTCCAAGAAACAGGTATACGTCATCATCAGTCTTCTGAAGTCGTGATTTGCTGTTGGTAGATGCATGAGTCTCCTAATCTAGTCATATGGGGAAAAACGGGAGAAGATTCAAATAGCTAAGAAGGGAGGATTGATTGGTTAATGTATGAGGGGCCAGGGCAAATTTTTCCATCCAAATGGAATTAATTTGTGGGCCTAAATTTTACCTCCCCTTCCCCAAAGAAAAAACTATTTGGAAGGATGAAAAGCCTGTGATTTTGTTTTTATGCATAATTTAGATGTATATTATACGTATGTATATCATACCTCTAATTTGTAGGCATGAATCTTAAGGTATGAACTAGCTGAATGACCCCCAAATTTTCTGTTCCATGAAGTCAACATTCAGTTTCTTTCCTTCATACCTTTGCATAGACCATCTTGCTTGTCTAGAATGCCCTCCTTCCTAACCTCCACCTCCACTCAAGTACCATCTCTGATAAGATAGTTTTCCTGATTCCCCTAGACATTCATGTTCTCTGCCTCTCCAAATGAAATCCTATTATTCTGTTTAATGTTGTATCTCCACCTAGTAGCTCCTTTGTAGTCTCAAAAGATTTAGAATTAATAGGGGTTTCAGATGTTATCTGGTCCATTTTACAAATGAAGAAACTGAGTCCCAGGGAAGTTAAGAGATTTGTTCAGAGTCACATGGGTAGGAAGAGGCAGTTGTAGGATCTGAACCTCAGTAGCTGACCCTTGTTTCATTGCCCTTTCCATTGCTGGAGGGCAGAGATTGTTTCTCATCCTGCCTTTGTATCTCTTATGCCTAGAATAGTGCCTTGAACATCTCAAGTATAGGAGAAAATCTAGTTTTCTCAAATTAGGGAATTTTTCTTTTGAGAACTGGCTTCACCATGGCAAATCCTAAACAATTGAGCTCTGACTGAATAGGTAAATCTTAAGGAGTTGCCTTAAGTGACTTCTCCAAGGTCACACAGCTTAACTTAGATGTATGTGCCTTAAATGACTTGCCCAAGGTCACACAGCTTGACTCCAAGCCAGATTGCCTCTACTCTCCTAGGACTTTGCTTAGTAAATAACAAGTGCTTGATAAATGCTTGATGAATTAAACTATGGTCAAAACAATGATATCACATCTACTTTATTTTATTTTCCAGCTTGACCAGGTATTACTTGAAGACGTTTTGCCAGTGCAAGAAGACGACTCCTTGATATCTTCTCACCCAATTGTTGTAAATGTGACAACCCCTGATGAAATAACATCTGTATTTGATGGAATATCCTATAGTAAGGTATAAGAAACGTCATATGTCTTTGAAGCACTTTCTGATTGGTTACTTGACATTCTCCAGACACTGGACTTGGGATCAAAGCTCATTTATTTAAAAATTGTTTTGTTTCTGCTTATCCTGATCTTTGATTATATGGGTTTTATTGGTTTAAAAAGGTTTTCTCTGGTTTATTTAAAGGTAAAAAACAATGGCCTTCTCTGGCATATGACCAATAATAGGCTTTGTGTTAGAATGGATCCCATCCTCAGTAAGCATCAGTGGGTACTTCAAATTGGTCTTTAAATCTTTTTTATTTTTAAAAACTTTTTGAAAATCTTTTAGCTAGAAAGAATATATATAGAATTGCTAGGGAAACTGAGGGATCAGCATCTATCATTCCTGAATGCATTACAAAGATGGCGGCATTTTTCATCCATTTTAAGTCCTTGTGGGAAATGCTTAATAATTCAGAGCTCTATTTTTTGCTCTCCTCTTAACAGCATGGTCAGCAAGTGACATGATTAGGAGTTTCATTTCCTTCTCTCTTAGCCACTGGCTGATTTAGTCATTGCATTGACACATGATTGACTCTTTCAAAAATTGCAGCTAACAGAAATATTTCCACATGATTGAGCCCAGTGATTTTATTTAGGCCTAAAATATTATTTTCATGTAAAGGAAAAACTTTCCTTGTACTATAGAATTAGAAATACATAAGATCCTACTTATCTCTGCACCCCTGACACCTCATAGCTGCTGCTTTTATCTAGTGAGCCAATTTCCATATTTTGAAGGTTCTCTTTTGTCTTTGCTGTCAAACCTTTTCTACTCCTAGCCTTTTGCTTATGGCATATATAACAGCCTGGAAAAGAAAGGCTGACCTAGGTACTCCATGCTTGTAAAACACTAGGTCATCATTTAATTCTACCTGTAATAAGGATCATGTTGTTTAGTCATGTGAGACTTTTCATGACCCCATTTGGGGTTTTCTTGGCAGAGATACTAGAGCAGTTTGCCATTTCCTTCTCTAGATCATTTTGCACATGAGGAAACTGAGGCAAACAGGGTTAAGTGACTTGCTCAGTGTCATATACCTACTAAGTATCTGAGGACAGATTTGAACTTAAGAAGATGAGTCTTCCTGACTCCAGGTCTGACACTATCCACTGAGCCACCCGCTGCCCCTGTCAATGTTAGCTATCACTATTTTTAAACACCATGAGTCAGCATTCAGTACTAAAGGAGAGGAAGAATAAAGACACTAATCAGATAATTCAAGTAAAATAATGGTCTAAAAATAACTGTCAGTGAGGAGCAAAGGAGTGTGGGTCTGAATTTTCCAAAATGGCTAGCTACAAATTACATTTGCCAGAGAATTCCTTAGCTTTCTACCTACTTATCATCAACATAGTCATTTTTTTATTGATAAAAAAGAAACACATTTATTTGTTGACCAATTTTAACTTGGATCTACTTTATTGCATCTAATAGAAATGGTAGTCCTAAATACACACACACACACACACACACACACACACACACACACACACACACA